CTCTCTGCCCAACTCTCCATCCTGTCTAGGTCTCTCTGAATGGCAGCACAGCCCTCAGGAGTGTCGGCCACTCCTCCCAGTTTGGTGTCATCTGCAAACTTGCTGAGGATGCACTCTGTGCCCTCCTCCAAGTCTTTGATGAACAAGTTGAACAGCACTGGGACCAGTACTGGCCCCTGTGGAACACCACTGGCCACAGGCCTCGAACCAGACTTGGCCCCATTTATCACCACTGGAATCTGCCATCCAGCCAGTCCTCAATCCACAGTCCACTCATCCAGTCCACATCTTCCGGAGCTTTCCTGCGAGGATGTTATAGGAGACTGTGTTGAAAGGTCTACTGAAGTCAAGGTAGACAACATCCACGGCTCTCCCATCGTCCATCCACCTGGTCACCTCATTGTAGAAGACTACCAGGTTCATCAAACATGTCTTTCCCCTGGTGAATCCATGCTGACTACTCCTGATCACCTTCTTTTCTTTGACATGCCTAGAGATGCTCTCTAGGATGAGCTGCTCCATCACCTTTCCAGGGATGGAGGTGAGGCTGACCGGCCTGGAGTTTCCTGGCTCCTCCCTCTTGCCCTTTTTGAAGACTGGAGTGACGTTGGTTTCTTCCAGTCCTCCAGTAACTCCCCTGCTGTCCATAACCTCTCAAAGATGAGGGAGAGCGGCTGAGCAATGACCCCTGCCAGTTCCCTCAGCACTCTTGGGTGCATCTCATCTGGTCCCATAGATTTATGGGTGTCCAGTTTGCCTAAATAATCCCTAACCCAATCCTTCTCGACCACTGGAAACTCTTCCTCTCTCCTGGTTCTCTCTCTTGTCTCCAGGCTCTGTAGTTCGTGAGGGCTTGCCTTAGCAGTAAAGACAGAAGCAAGGAAGGCATTTAGTAACTCTGCCTTCTCTGCACCCTCTGCCATCAAGGCACCCTCCCCATTCAGCAGCAGAGCAACTTTTTCCCTAGCCGCCTTCTCGCTGCTGATGTGTTTGTAGAAGCCCTTCCTGTTGTCCCTGACATCTCTTGCTAACTCTCATTCCAAACGGGACTTGGCCTTCCTTGTTGCATCCCTGCACTCTCTGACAATGTTCCTATATTTTTCCCATGTGGCCTGGCCCTTCTTCCACATTATATACATGTTCTTTCTCTCATTAAGTTTACCCAACAGCTCCTTGCCCATCCACACAGGTCTTCTGCCCATCTTGCTCAACTTCTTTCTTACAGAAATGCACCAATCCTGAGCTTGGAGAAAGTGGTGCTTGAAATAGCAGCCAACTCTCCTGGACCCCCTTTCCTTCTAGGATCCTTGTCCAGGGGATTCCTCCAAGGAGCTCCCTGAAGAGGTCAAAGTTAGCTTGTGAAGTCCAGGGTTGCAATCCTACTTCTTGTCCAGCTTCTTCCTCACAGGAATGTGACTTCCATTATCCTGTGGTCACTGCAGCCAAGACTGCCCCCAGCCTTCACATTTCCCAAATACCATATGCTTGAAAAAACTTCCATATTGTATTTTCTTGCAGTCCATTTTTATTTTTATTTTTATTTTGAGCTTTAGATATTTAAGTTATTCTGTTAACATCAAATACAAATTGCATCAGGTGAAACGTTTAGGAAAAACGGAATGTTGTCTTGCTGCACTATAGCTACACTATGCTATAGCTATAGCAGTGAAAACCTTATCGACGTTATTTCTATTTTGTCTTTGGATCAGTACTTATTCAATAGCCCAATCGTTCAACTCCATCCTCCAGCTTTCTCATGAGGTTCAGTACTACTGCACTGAAAAGCAGTGAAGACTTTGCGTTCCCTGAGGAATTGAGAAGAATGTATTTTCTTTTTTTAAGTTGGATTTTTTTCTCTTTTATATATGTTTTGCTGTGTTTTATGCCAGAGGAACAATGTTCCTCATGTGAGTGTCTGCTTTGCTTTGGTGTTTCCCCATCCTTGCAAGCTGTTTACTGCTTCATGTGCTCCCTCGTCATGAGCATTTTATCTTAAATAATCTGGTATCATGACAAGGTGTTTAAATCTACAAGTATGCATTACTAGCTGTTCGTGTTTCTTCCAAATTCTTGCTGTATGTGGGCACTTTTTCCATAGGTACAAAGAAAGGGTAAAGATTTTGTAAGATCAAAGCACCCACTATTTTTATTTTTGAAAGCAATTCCTGGGAGATGCATCATGGGCTAGCTGGAAATTTGATCTTTATTGACTCTGCCACCTAAGAGAATAAAGAAAATGGGTAAAAACGAAAATAGTAATTGGAAATAGCTCCTGTGGAGCAAAGCTGTCATGAGGCAGATTGATTTAGCAGTGGCAGAGTTGCTTTATTGATTGCAAGTCCTTAGTAAATTAAAAAGAGTACAAAATGCGTTAATCTTCTCTGTGTGTGTGTGTAGGTGTGTATGTGATAGTGACAACTTAAAAAGTTCTGCCAGGATAAAGACGCACATAGAAATGCGGGAATGGCATCTACTGCAGTCGGTAGTAGGCTTTTCAAGGATAAAAACAGAGTTCTTCAAAACCCTTCTGATTAAATGCTCTTTACTGTACCATAGAAAAAGAATAGCAGAAGTACTGATGCTTAGTTTTTTAGGGCTTCAGGTGCATTTATTCTAGATGAATGAAGTATATGTGTAGCAGTTGTAGTAATTTTACTTGGATGTTCACATTGGGTTTGTTCGAATTGATTGCTTGTCTGAATTGCAGTTTTAAATTTGTCCTTAATAGAACAATGACAAAAAATATATTTTAGCTGAGGATTTCTGACTGCTGCATAAACAAAAGTCAATTCTGGATTTGGACTTCTAATTCTTCTCTTTACTGCTGATCACTTAGTACAATTGCTCATTTGCAAGTGAATTAATCCTTTATTTATATTTTTCCCTGAACTGTCACAGCAGCACAGTGTGAGATGGTGGCAGTGCGGCAGCTTTTCTTCCACAGAAAAGGAGGGTGTTGGGATGGAGCTGGGATGCTCGGTTGGTGAGGACTAGGCTGGCCAGGTGTTGTATGCACTAGGTAATCTGGTTTTCAGTTGCACCACCAGAAATTGGTTGGATTAAGGGATTTAGATAGTTTCTTATTTTCACATTATTCTGCCAGTCCTTCTGCAGAACCTAGGCCCTATCTTACCCCCTCACACGTTTCCCTAACAGCAGTGATCCAGAAAGGCAAGATAGAGGTGTCATCTAATCCTTTGAATCTAGCCACCGCACACTCCAGTTCTTTTCTTGTGTTTTTCCTTCCCTTCCTTGCTGTTCTTGATTAGTCACCCTCTGACGTTCGTTCGCCGCCTCGCCAGAGAGCTCCTTCTGGAGGCCTGCGCTAAACCGCGCTGTGTGGGACAGCCTCCCCGGCGGATCTGTGGAGACACTGAGGAGGTTTCTCCCTTCTCCTGCCGTGCCTCTCTGAGGAGATCCAGAGGAAAATGTCAAGTGCGAAGGAGAGGGGATATATTAGCTGTATTTTATCTACTTGCGTGGCTACTGAAATGTTTCATAATCATTAATCAGAACCGCTAGGTGGGCTGTGTAACCACGTGAACAGATTCCTGGCCTCACCATGTATCTCTTCCCTTTTCGGCCCCATTGTTTGCTACACTCATCATTCCTTGCCTTAAATTTAGATAGTTCCGCAGGGAGGGAGCTGCGTCACTCTGTGGGTGGTACTACAGTATAAATAAACATTTTTTTCTTAAATATGTAAATGTCATTGTAGTTTGCTCCGCCGTGCATAATGTTAAACAGCTAATGTTGTAAGTGGCAGTTTGTAGTGTTTAAAATAGTCTTGCTTATGTAGTCTGTCTTGTGCTTTTTTGGCTGAATAACTGACCGTTGCACTGTTGTTTTTTCTTGTTAAACACATCTGCACACAGAAGCAGAACTGCTTGGTTTGTTTTGATCTGGCACACTGTAATAACTCTGCTTTTAAATTATATGCCTACTAGGTTATAGATCAGATGGCAGCACTGTTCATTTTGCAGCGTCACTGGAGTCACTGACTTAAATGGTTTTTGATCACTTTTCTTTCATGCTATATCTTCCAAAATTTACCTGGCATGCTTAAATGACCTGCTGCTTATTTTCCATAGCAAGACTTTCTCACATTCCTAGCCCAGACAGAAGCAAAATGTAGCACTGCCATCTGGGCTGTGAAATTGGAATAAAGCTGAGCGTGTTACGTCAGTGTTGCCACGGCTAGAAGCCAGGTGGCAAAAAATAAAACGATGGTCTGGTAGTTGGCATGTTAGCCTGGATCTTGGGAGACCACCTGTACCTGTGCTGCAAAGCTTTGTAGGAATATGGGCAGGTTGGAGAGGATTTATCTTGCTGTCTTACTGCCTGTCTAGATGTTCTGCATCTACTCTGAATTAATTGTCTCAGCTTGATCTGCTGTGAACAGATAGGTGTTTTCAGAGGCCGTAGGGTCATCCCGCATCGCTTGGCTGTGAACTTTAGATTGGGAGAATTGCTATGTATAATATACCTACCTGTTTCTGCATAGACCTCACAGAAAGAGCCTAGACGACTGCCTTGAACTTAAATCTGAATGCCTGGCTTGCAGCAAATGGTCCTTATCTTCATGTTTTATGTGGAGGGGTAATTGCCCTTTCCTACCTCGTAGGAATGTTACATGGACAAACACAAAGATTCAGCCAAAGGAAGCTATAATTGGGGAAGTACAGCATAAAACCCAATATTTATTTTAAAAATACTTGGTAAAATTATATATAATTATCATATAAGTAAAATCACAAATATGTACATGTCTGTATATATGTGATTGCCGCAGATTTTTGAACACAATGCTGTAAGTTAGAGATTTTAAGGGTACAGGATAGAGCCGTGGAGGCAATTTTCTGATTAATACATTGCACAGACAACCCCAGAACCTTAGAATGGGTGGCATGTGCATGGGGAAGTTAAATTCATTTGTTTTTATGTTTTGTTGGGTGTTCTTTTTTCTCCTCAGATTGTGATGGATTTCAAGCATCCTGATGGTCATACAGTGGCAGTTATGCTGCCCCGACGCAGTTTGCTGGTAATGTCTGGAGAATCCAGATACCTGTGGACACATGGGTACGTGTAAAAGTCCCTGCATTGCTCATAGTAGGAACATAATATGTGTAGTTTGTTTGTTTTTGTTATTCTGGATTTAAAATGGCTCTGAAAGGAAAGAAATAGAGTTTTATAATTAACCATGTAAATTCTCTCATATGCTCAGATGCTGCTCAGGTTAAACTGAAAAATTGCTCGTTTGGGGAAACTAATCACCAGTCCCTGAACTGCAATTTCTTGTTAATGTCACAAATTAAGTTTCACCTGGAAGTTACTGTAATGTTTGTGTTTGGTGTGAAAGATCTCAGTGACTGTAACCTGACAAAGAGTTGAAAGCAGTGGAATTAGCTTCACCGTTTCTCTTCCCTTTCTTCAGTACACAGCTTTTCAGAGGGTACCGTGTATGCCTAAGTCTTTGGGGGAGGATTGGTTTAAGAGATTGAGCTCCTCTGCATGGAAGATACAGGTGGGCACAGAGGACAGTGGGCACAAAGCCCAGAGCTTTGTTCAGTTGCCTTAAAGCAACTTTGCCTACTGATAAGGTTGCATTATACTAAACAGACCTGGGATCCAGGAAAAGAGGTTCTTGAAGTGTGTCTTGAGGCTTTGCTCATTATGGAGATGAAATACATGGTTTTTAAGTCATGCACCATGGGGAAATACTTACAATAGGAGCAGTGAAGTTGGCAAAAAGGATAAAAGCTTGGTGAGCTCCGAGAGTGACAGCAGGGCACTTCAGCAGAATATGTGAACCCTCATACTAGGCAGAAAGGCCCAGGGGGGATGTTTCTTCTTTGTTTGACCCTAACAGTCACTGCTTACAGCAGTGGAGAGAATAATTATATTCTGTGTAGATTAAACACCAAATCCTTTTATCAGCAGAAGACTTTGCGCCTTTTAATTTTACTGATTGATTTGTATTATGAAGAAGGGTGAATAAGGACTCCCCAGTGACCTTTACATTGTCTGCTTTTATAGACCATGTATACCACCTGTATATTCTCTCATTAAATAGTTATAAAAAGCAGCTGTTGCTTCTGATATGCCTCATTACAAGAATCCCAGGGCATCGAAGCCCTTTGTTTATTGGTGTACAAGATCAAGCATGGATATGTGCGTTTTAAGCTTCCTACTGTAAGCTGCTGTGCTGTGAAATACTGTCAGTTGCCTTTTGGAAGCGTTATCTGCGACTCCGATTGCCCGGATCAGTTGGCGTTTCAGTGACTTGGCTGCCCCTCAGGGTTGTCGCTGTTAGGGCACAGCCCGCCTTGGTGACTCCTGGTCCTGGGCCTCGCAGCCAGGCCCTGTCCCACCACACTGTGTGCCAGGCGCACGCGTTGGGAGTGAGGTCGGGTCTGGAGGGAGGAGTCAGGATCAGACACAACCCCATGATGGATGGGCAGCATTGGGGCTGGGGCTGAGCTGGGTAGTTGGCTCACGGGACAGGCCCAAGTCCACAGGCCGTGGCCAGGCACACGGGCCTGGGCCTGTGGCTCGTGCGAAGCCTGGGGAGGCTCAGCTGAGAAATGGCTCCAGGGAAGGAAGGGTGGTCCTCACAGAGGCTCCTGGCTTTCTTCATGGCAGCCTCTCCATGGCCACCAGCTGCGCCCTGCCCCAGCTGGCCCCGAGCCCTGGCAGCTCCAGGGCACCTGCAGTGGTTGCCACCACGCAGTCTGGCTGGGAGAGCTGCACGTGTGTAGTGCCCACTAGGAACTGGAATTAAATCAGTACTTAATCCCACTTATACCTTCAGAAGGTGATTATCTTTTGAGGACCAAAGATACAGACTGAATTCAAAATGAAGATCCCAAATCTGTCTATGCATGGACTGTTATTTCTTTCCCCAGTGCTTGTCTATCTTTCCTATAGATTTGTGAATGATAAATATTTTGTAAAACAGTAGTGGGGCCAGGTATTTAGTTGGGGTAAATAGATACTAGCATCTCCTTATTTCAGAAGGAGTAATATCCACTTTTTATGTCTTCCTTCTGGTTTTGTCCCAGTTATCTTTTTTTATCTTGCTTTTTTTTTTACTTCTTTCTCTGTAATATTTGATGCTTCTGATCCTAGGTGTTTCTCAAGATCACACCTTCACCTTGTGAAGACTTTATTGCCAAGTGGACACTTTCTGCAAATAACATTTGAAAGGAAGGACAACAAAGAGAGCAGGATAACAGAATAGGCTTACAGAGCTCGCTAGTGAAGCATGGCGTTGCAATCAACAAGATTAATCACCCGGCAAGCAAGTGTAGTCAATTCATTTGCATACATAAAGTCAGGGTGTATTTAAGATCATTCGAAAGGCCTTTTATCTCCTCCTCACAAATCAAAGCGGAGAGAGCAAAGAGGGTTTTTTTTGGATTTTTTTTGGAAATGTTTTCAATTGCAGGTTTGGATGTCAAGGGAATTAGAGACTTTAACTCTACAAGATCCAGAGAAAAATGATTTTTGTTCTTTTTGAAAACATGTTTTTGAAAGAGAGATATAGTTAAGAAATAAGTTGCACTATTTCATCAGGAGAATAAAAGAAATGCAGCAGGATGTGTCCTCCTCTTGTCTCACTGGTAAAAGTAGTTTCTTTTCCTGTTACATTTTCGTTTTGGTTGAATAACCCGGCAAACCACTATTTCTGACCCTGCAACAGTAAATCAACTATGTGACAAGTAAGATGATGTGCAATATTTTATTTTTAAACACTAGGCTTGCTTTTATCTAGAGGCTTTTTCATAGCACCAGCCAAAGGAAATAATACAGGTTGAAATTCTAGAACCTTGAAAAAGAAATCTTTCTGAAGATATTAGTTCTTGCATGCATAGTGTGTAGCTGCAGGAACAAAACGAGAATTTGATGTAAACATAAAATCCAACGGAAAATGTGCAAAATCTCAGTACTTGAAATTCTGGTGTGGAGGAAATCTCACCTTATTTCATAATAGCTCCATTGACTGCCATGTCCTATGGCAGTCTTTTATTAAAATCCATCCTTCCTGTGGCTGCCTTTGGGAGATTTCCATGTTCAGAACGGCTCCATGTCTCTGATAGGAAAAATTTAAGATATGAACCTGTTGCTTCCTGATTTCCAGGCAGGTGCACTCTTTGTCCCTGTGCCAGGATTAAAGTTCAGCTTCACTGTGGCCGTAGGGAAGATGGCAGACACAGCAGCCTTCTCAGCAAGCAGCTTGTGCCTTCTGGTTGAGTACAGGGAGTGATCAGCAGTTTCACAAGACCCTCCAGAAAGTTCCAGTAGAAATTTGAAGTGAAAATGAATGCTGTGCTTTGCTAAAAGATATAAGGCATCTTTCTTGCCCTATTGGGTCGACCTGCTGGGGTTAAACTTGGCTAACCAGTAGGAAAGTCAGTTTTAGACTGTGAGTTTGCCCTGCTTCGAAGCGAGTGCTTGAAGACAGATTCCGAAGGGGCTTCGCTGAGGCCAGTTCTTTAGAGATGAACTCTTTGTCTTGAGGCAACTTCTGAATTGAACTCCTTCATGAGTAGGTTAGGAAATATCTTAGTGACAGTAATAGCATGGAAGTGCTAAGCTAAAGAGTTTCAGTTTTCTTCCAAGAGTATCTGCTTTATTCCACGTGCAAATGATGCCAAACTGCATATGAGTGCAGCTGTATTTCTTCTGTTTTGCATAGTTTCCCATTTTCTTCTGTTTTGCATAGTTTCCCATTTTACTTTCTCATTTTCCTTTTGCCATCTTTGAGAGAGATATATCTTCAGCAGAGCTATCAAAATTCAAATTTTTAGTACCTTTTCACAATACAAATCTCTTCACAAAATTATTTGAAACTTCTGTTACCCCAGAAAAGTTCTAAGTCACTTTAATTTTTTGAATGTTATCCCTGCAGAAGTATATTTGTTGTCCATTAAAATCTGGGTCAAATCCAGAAGTAATTTCAGAGGCTTTTCTCTGTTTGCTTGATTGATAGATTACGATCAATAAAGATGATCTACAGTATAGTTACTCCCTTCAGACATTTTGGCATATCACCAATGGGCTGCATCTTCAGCAGTGAAAAAGTGAAAAGGCAATGCTGCTACAAATTAGAATTCATTGGAGAGATTCTTTTTTAACCAAAACAAAATAACAAAAAAGTCAATCTGCTACAAATCAACTTTTTTTTTCTGATGCAAATAAAATTATTCTGTTTTATGTTACTGTGCATTAGGATAACACCCCGAAAATATGATGTCATTCAAGCATCTGAACTTGGCCAGAAGGTTGGAACAATCACTGCTGATGTTGGAGATTTAACATTACATCGAAGGGAAACAAGGACATCATTTACATTCAGGAAAGTGAGGAGAAGCCATTGCAATTGCAGTGAGTGTCGTGACGTGATCTTGGAGTCAAAAGGGTTATTTATTACCACCAATATGTAAGCATTGTTTTGAACTCAGTGTAAAAATATTTATATAGTATAAAATATTTATATAAAATAATGTATTTTTAAAACAACTGCTTACCCCCAAAACTGAAACCTTCAATACAGCCAAAGACTAAAACTTTCTTGGTATTGTTTGTTTTTAAACGAAATTGCAATATGTGAGAGGTGATGAGTGCTTGAAAAGAGCATAGTTGTTTTCAAGCACAACTTTGTGTGACAAGACTGTGATTAAGTTTTAGGGCTGAATGGTTTTGGGAAATCATCTGTAGGACTTGAAAAATAGGAAGTGGGCTTGAGAACTGCCAAGCAGAATGCCATGTGAAAATAACCATGTGAAAGTATTGCAGAATGCTGTGTTATTATTTCTTCCCATAGAGAGAGAGTATCTAAGCCTAATACAAAGGCTGATAATCTAGGTCTTGGCTACCTTTCTTTGATGTTTCTTTATTTTGTGAAACCTTGTACAAATCAGTGTATCCCTTTGGGCAGTCCAAAAGGCCTTTCCTGAATGGGCTCAGTTTCACCATACCCTGTGGCTTGAATTGGTTGCATCCATGAGGTTGGGTTTCTCTGCACAGGAAGGCGTTTGGCTTGCTAGAGATGTAAACAAGTTATCTGAAATCTTGAGTTATATGGGTGCTTCAAGTACCAGAATAACGTAGCAAACAGAAGTATTCACTGTTCCTCAGGTTACCAACAGTTCTGAATATAGTTTATTTGAAGGCGACTGTAACTTTGTGAAAATCAGAACTTTCGAAAATGAGAATTACTCTGATCTGCAGCAAGAGAGGCATCCAAGTACCTTAGGGTAGTACAGATGATAACAGATAGGTGGCTGAACAATTTGGTGGAAATGAAATCCATTTAGTTGCACAGAACCCAATTTCATTGGAATTTTCTGAGGCCATGTTGCAGTGATGTCATGATCTTTCATGTTAGTGCCAGTGCCACAGTTTTGAAAGCACAAGCCTTGTTAATGTTGGACAGCAGGTTGAAAGGTCACTTTGCAAATGGTTTCTAATAAGCATTACTTGCTTATTATCTTGCATTAAAGTCATCAGGCACCTCTGCAGTTTGACTTACATTTCTATTTTTGAAAGGTAAAGACAAAATGAAGTGTCTGTGGTATTTTAAGATTATACTTTTTTTTTCTTAATAAGCTTAATCGACAAGGACCGACTGTTAATTCTTTTCTTGTTTGCATATCTGTTGCTACTTGTAGTTTACCCATCTGTCTGTGACAGCCAGAAAGGACAGCAAAGACAGGGACAACCTTCAGTTCCCCTCAGTGAGATGGAGGCCTTAAAGCTGGAGCAAGAACATGTACACAAGGTGTACGAAGAGATTGCAACGCACTTCAGCAGTACCAGGCATAGCCCATGGCCCCAAATTGTGGAGTTTCTCAGGTCATTACCAAAGGGGGCAATAGTGGCTGATATTGGTTGTGGTAATGGGAAATATCTAGGGATCAACAAGGATTTATACATGGTAAGTAGCTCTGTCATTTGTTTTCTCTTTTTATTATTGTTAATTTTTATTCTGTCATGCAGTTGTATTTTTGAGCTTTAGTTGAGGGAGGAGTGCAAGAAAAAGAAAACTCTTCCCTTACCCAAGATCGATTACCAATTGCATTAGGTTCACATCAATTCACTATGTTTGTTACCCTTTTCTTTTTCAAAGCCACTTTTGCTTTGCAAGTCAAAATATGTTAATAAAAAATTGCAATGGATTTAGTAGATGGAAAGATGTAGTGAATGTTTTGGGTATTTTTTGTGAAGAAGCTCACTGAAAGGGAAAGTGGTTGGGCAGTTTGGTGAGTCCTTGCAGCAGATATTTAATGTAGTGGGGGGTGGGGGATACAGCGTACCCGTCCCTGAAATCTCCAGAGTCAGTAGCTCTTTCACATACCTCTCTTTGGCTCATCTGAATGATGTCACTTTTGGCTGTCCCATCTCTGACTGTCTGTGCACAGGCCCAATAAATAAGTCTGTGTAAGATTCAAAGAAGAGTGTTAGCTTCAGCACAGATATCTGGCCTTACCATTCCTCTTTCCTCTTCCTTATTCTTCTTCACAGTCCTGACGTAAATCTTGCTAAAATTTTCATCTTCATCCCTGTCTTGCTGTCTGTACTCAGCCCAGTTTTACTCTTCTCCATTCCCACTTCGGAGCCATGAGACACATACAGATAAAAATCATGAGATTATATTTTTATTGCCAATATTTCAAAGGCTTTTTAGTGAGGGGCAAACTTTCTGTTGTTCTCCTAAAGAAAGAAAATCTTGAGGTATGCATTATGTTACCTGCTATTCCCTGTTCAGAATTGTCTGATTCTTTTACGTGTTTGGACTATGAAACACTTGGAAATCTATCAAGCTTGAAAACTTCCATGTAAGACAAAACATTCATTATTAATCACAAAAGGTAGACTTGTTTGTCTGTCTCAGAAGTTTCTGTCCTGCTATTTATATTCAGCTATAAAATATAAGTTATCTACCACCCTGTCTGTATTTGTAAGGCATTCATTTTCATTACTGCTCTTACATGCTAGATAAAAAAAAAAAAAACCTAATTTATAAGTTGGCATCCTTATGCCTGACTGCTGTAGCCTGAAAATAATTGTTAATACTAAATACATTTCAGTCTTTCACCCCCAGCTGATCAGTTTGCTGTAAGAAAAATCAGTAAAATTAACCAGAGGAGCATTTTTTTCCAGGGAATCATGTAGGTCAACAGGTCCTAGAAGGGATTTGGCAATCTATGCTTATACAGTTAGGTGGTAGGCTCCTAAGCAGAATGTCTGCAAGATGCTGTATTCGGAACCGCCCAGAACCGTTTTCTGTTTTCTGGAGCCCACATTTAACCAGATATGAGAAAGAGAGATCCTGTATCTACTGGCGGTCAAATGAAAACCTCTGTGCTTACTGTCTTGGGCGTCCCTACCAGGGGACCTGACAGTCTGGGAGCAGGTTAAATGGTGCAGCAATCTGCTTCCTACGAAGGAAACAAAATGCATATGACTCATTTCGTTCCATTTACCCCATGAAACTAAGCTGATGGTCACATAATACTGGTGAAGCCAGTCATTGAGCAGCAGTCATAAGGATAAAACTCTTCTAAGAGACACAAGCACTTTGTTCATAAGTAAACCAAGTCCCTATTCTTTGAGCAGAAGGAAAGTGTCAGCTCACAGCACTTGGCAAGACATTTTTCAGTTAGTCAGCTTACTAGAGAATATGTCCTGGTGTTTTTTGTGCATTTTTCTCTGAAGCAACTGGTAATGACTATTACTTAAAGCAAGATACCTTTTTAAACAATTTGCAGTTTCTGTAAGTGTGAAAGTGACTGATGCTCTTTGTTCTTTTGTGGATATGGATTTGTGGATAATCAGTATGTAGTCATTCCTTAATGGAATTTTACCTTTGTCTCTTTGCCTTAGTTCTCTGTAAAAAGCACTGCCGAACATCTACTAGTGATGTATCATCACTAGTAGCCAGCTTCTTTGTTTTGGAATGCTGTGGTGTGTTGCATGAGCCAACAAGCTCAACACTTCTCTGCGTCGCGCAGAAAGCAGCAGTCTTTTTGTCTTTTCCTGTTACTCTGGGGCTCTTATTTGAGCTCAGTGGTAGGGTCTGATGGCAGTCATGTTTCTCATATTGTATTAATTCCATTCACTGCGGGTCGGATGTGAATTTGAAGGGAGGTCAAGGAATATGCTCCATGCGTAAGAGCATCGTTGAGACCATCAGTTTTGTCCCTGATTTACTTCTCTTGAAAAACTCCAGGCTGAATCTTTGTCTGTTGCTGCCATCTTTGCTTCCAAACAACTGTTGTGACTCTCTTCATGGCTGTGCACAAAGTGCACTGCAGCTCAGGGCCTGGGTCCTGTTGGGGAGGACGCAATACAGTGGTGCTGAGAAGGCAGGGCTTACTTAGGGCTTGGGTAGAGCAGTGTCAGTATTACTGTGAAGCTTGGAGTAGCTTTCATCAAAGATGTTGGAGATGAGGCAAAATGACCTGAGGCAAGCAGTTTCTGAAGGCAGGTATGTACTCCTATGGGTTACTGTACATTGTTAGATAGGATGCTTTAAGTAGAAGCTCTTGTGATAGATGAAAGCTAAGAAAGCTCTTGTGAAGTTTTAATCTATCTGAAAATGTCCCTGCAGTGGCCTATGCTGTTGTATTGGCTTCAGCTTCTTTTACTGATTACACAGAGCTTTATCTGCTTGGCTGTCGCTGTGTGACAGTGAAAAGAGCATGAGTTCAGGAACACTCAACAGCAGTGTCAGTGCTGCAATGGCTGCATTGTTCTCACAAAATAAAGAACAGCAATTTCAGAAATTCTGGTTAAGCATGATTTGAGCAAGAGGTGGCGTCCAAGTCTGATGTAGTTCGGTCGAGGTCTGGAGAAAGATGGAATCTAATAATGCCTGAGATCACTTTTTTCCTCCCTCTCCAAGCTTTTAACATATTTTTTTAAATGAATGAATGCCAAAGAGTCAGAGAAATTATTTTAGTTGTTTGCACAATTCTTTCCCCCCATCCCTCAACCTTAATTTAGGAGAATTATTTTGACAGTTTTTATTTATGTGTTTTCAAACCTAGTGCTCATATATATTACCTGTGCTTTTATTTTTACAAAAATGGGACATTTCAACCTGACCTGGCCCCCTCTCCCCCTGTCTCCAGCAGCACAGGGCTTCATTCCAGAACCTGTCACCATCACTGCATTATGTCTTATGAATTTTATGAGCTTTAGTTCTGCCTCCCAGTTTTCCGTGTTCAAATAGGTGTGGTGAGATCTGTGAATCTCCATTGGAAGGTACAGTACAGAAATGTATTTTATATTTGGCTTGTCATCTGAAGAGGTCAATGCATTTTATGAACCTCAGCTAACGAGTGATGTTGTTCGTATTGGACATTACCTTGTAAGGTGTTCTGCTGCAAAGATGTACATAACTTCCTCAGGTCTGCATTGCTGTCTTAAATTGGGATAGGGAGAGCTGTGTAAATGTTTATTTTTCTCAGGAGATAGGGAAGAGTGGGGAAGTTGAAGATTTGCCACTGGTTGCATCGTGGTGGGTGCGTTTTCGTTGCTCCAGGCCCATGTTGCCTGAGAACAGATGCATTTTCAAGGGGCTTAGCAGTGATTAACAGCAGGTTGGACAGGCAAAGGTGTATCTGGAGCCATTTCACTGCACATTTAGTGTTTGAAAGGGAGACAAGGGGACCTTTTTTGCCCCTTTTCTCTCATTGAACAGAAGTCGTTGAAATGGGGTGAAATTTTGGGCTGAAGAGAGAGTGGGAGGAGCTGGGCACCAAGAACACAAAAGCAGCAAAAGCACCGAATTATTCGACTAAATTCGAGTGCTTTGTCATTGGGAAATGGACTTCCCATTTTAGACACAGCACTTGTTTCCACAGGCGCCCTGACCATACGCAATGGAAAAACAAAACAGTACGTGAGAGAAATGTGAAAAGCCTGGCTCCCACCCCCAGGAGCAGGGATGTTTTTCTTGCTTGCTGTGACTGCTCTGGTCTCTTTTTCTACATGCGGGTCTTTACTGGAATGTAATTTGGTTCCTTGAGCCTCTCATGCTGTTAGTTATAGCTGAGGTATTTCTCTGGGGAAACAAATAATTTCATTTGGTGGTTGCATTTCGGAATTAGATGTAGTTTTCTTCATCAGTTTCTAATGAGATAAATCAATAAGGTTTCTAGAGACTTAAATGAACTAATTCTACCAAGTAGAGTTAGTTATAATGAGATAGCGTACAAAATATATAATGGTGGGCAACATCGACCTGTCTTTATCTTTATTTAAGGTTGCAGGAGGTTTTATCTTTTGCAGAGCTGCAGTAACATTAAAAAGCTGTTTATTTAGTGTGTTTTGACCCCGAATGATCTGTTCTACACCACTGCACTAGACAAATTTTATAAAAGTTCTTTTGGCCACTGCTGAAGAGCAGCCACTCCTGGCTGAAGCAGTGGAGGGGTCGAGGTTACAGGGAAGCCAGAGGATCAGGATGGGATTCTGCCTGTGTTATCCTATTCCCAGGGATCCAGTACGGAGCTGCTGGAAACTCAGGCAAGTCACAGATTTAATGTTTCTCTGTCCCCTCCCTTTTCCCCATCTTAATCTTTGTTGTTGTTGTTTATTCTCATCTGTCTACAGGTTTGTGTTTCCTAATGAGTCCAAAATAGAAAATTTTATAGATCTGAGTGATCACATACCTTTGTGTGTGCAGAGTTTCAGGCCTCCAGACAAACGTGGCTTACACCAAGACAGGTTTTCTGGTCAAAATCAAGAGTTGGATGCAGTCAGTTTGTATCTGGGCACAACTAACTGATGCCAAAAATCCTTATAAAAAGTTTAGGGGATTCTGAGTCCAATAGGTGTCAGGGTCTGCTCTGGAGGATCTCTGGAACCTGTTCCCATAAAGAAAAAAAAAAAAAGGCAATGAGAAAAGGTATGAAGGTGGCTACCTGCAATAAACTCAGTGTAAATCCAGAGGAATTATTAAAAGGTGTAGGGACACTTGATGAAGCATGGTCTGGCTAGGAGTGGCTCCTGCTATTTGAGATATGAGACGGCTCAAGCAAGGTGCTGGATTTGGAGAACTGTGAGAATAGGTGTAAGAAATGATTGGCAGAGATAATAGGATATAGGAAACATTAAAAATACCAAGGAATATACTGGATTCTCTTGTTTTTGAACAAGCTAATGGGAATTCCTTTAACTTCCCTCAATGTTCTAAGTAGGATGTCAGCGAGGACAATATCCTGCGCTGAGCATCAAACGTACAAAAAATGAACTGGCAAAAATTAAAGCATTCCAATTATGTTTCAAGATCATTTTTAATGTTTTGATTACTTAAAAAATTGAGAGAAAAATAAAACTATTCTAAACTAAAATAGGTATTCAAACTGTCCTCTGAAGATGAAACTTCATCATACCAAAGCTTCATCATAGAATCATAGAATGCTTAAGGTTGGAAGGGACCTCTAGAGGTCATCTAGTCCAACCGCCCTGCACACGCAGGGTCACCTAGAGCACGTGGCACAGGACTGCGTCCAAGCGGGTTTGGAAGATCTCCAGAGAAGGAGACTCCACAACCTCTCTGGGCAGCCTGTTCCACGGCTCTGTCACCCTCGCAGGAAAGAAAATTTTCCCTAAGTTCCTTCGGCACTTCTGATGCTTCAGTTTCTGGCCATTTCCTCTAGTCCTCTCAGTGGCTAGCACCATCCTCCTCACTGCCTCCCTTGAGGTACTTATAGACACTGATCAGGTCCCCTCTCAGCCTGCTCTTCTCCAGGCTGAACAGGCCCAGCTCCCTCAGCCTCTCCTCATAGGGCAGATGTTCCAGGCCCCTGATCATCCTTATAGCCCTGCGCTGGACTCTCTCCAGCAGCTCCACATCCCTCTTGTACTGTGGAGCCCAGAACTGGACACAATACTCCAGATGTGGCCTCACCAGGGCTGAGTAGAGGGGCAGGATCACCTCCCTCGACCTGCTGGAGACGCTCGTCTTAATGCACCCCAGGATCCCATTGGCCTTCTTGGCCATGAGGGCACACTGCTGCCTCATGGTCAACTTGTTGTCCACCATGACACAACATGAAACAACATGTAAAAATAAGTTAAGTGATGGAATGAGGAAAAGTCAAATTTGAGTCTCTCTCTTGGTGTTAATGTTTTTTAATAAAACATCTCTCTCCTTTTGAGAAGTCCCACAAATATTCATAAAAATGATAGGCTTTCTTGCTGTAAGAGGGCATTGCACTGCTGAAGTTAGCTGCTCTATGCTTACAGTGTCCTAAAAGAATGAACCCAAAATGTATTGATCGTGAATTAATATTTTTGGTAAACTAAAAAATTCAGATGTAAGGTGGTTATAACTCTTTAAAAATTGGAGGCAATTCTAGTAAGGATGCTAAATCTGCTTAGCTACAGTACTGAGCAGATTTGTGGTGATGCTCCATGTTTAGCATTTACATGTAAACATGCAGCAGCTCTTCTAATTGTGCGGAAAATCTCGCTGTCAAGAACTGAATGTCCAAAAGGAGACAGAGGAGTCCTAAAACTTTATTCGAATAAAGGGAGAGTCCACCGGGCATATCCCTGTGGGGTCTCTCAAATTGCTGGGGGATGCAGCCCCCCTTTTATCCTAATTTCCCGACCGAGGGACGCCCTCTCCTTTTCCCCATTGGCCAAGGTACTCAGAAGTTACAGCCTTCCCGGCCTGCAACCCCGAACTCCGGCCTCCCGCCATCTGTTCTCACCTGAGCTCACCAACTCCTTTGTCCCCCTTGATGAAGAATGTGGGGGAATTCCCCCATTTCCCTCCTTTGTAAAGGCCCCATCTCCTTGCAGGTGGCTCTTTTTGTCCTTCTCGGCTCATGGCTCCACTCAGTCTCCCCTCCCTTTGTCCTGCTTTTCAGCCAAACTGTGGAGAAACCCCCTTATTGATGAATACAGAAACTTGAGCATTCCGCTCATAATATTTGCATTAAAAAGAGTTAGGCCTAGCATACCTCAGAGCAGCCGGCATTCAAATCACCCAATTTGAAGGTCTCTGTTTTCATTGCAAGATGGAATCTTTTCGCTTTGGATGTAGCTTTGCTTTAATAGCTGTGACATTACAAGGAAGCCTGACTTCATAATTATTTGGTGTAATTTAGATGCAGATGAGGCCCTCACATGCTGGCAGTCGTGCCTTGTTCACGCTCCCAGCCTGCTGAATTTCCTCAGCACACAGTGTAGCCCTTCTCAAGGGCATTTGAGTAGGGGAGGATGGAGCTCCTTTATTCAGCCTGTTTGTGCTATAGACATGTAGGGGCCAAAGGAATTCTTTCTGAGCAAGCCTCTGTTAGTGGAAGATGGGAGTATTCTTCTTCCTTCTCTTTCTGCGGTAGTGAATTTGGTCCTCTGATTTTTATTAAATTACTGAATGCTAATGTCTTAATTGCAAAAGTAGCTGAAGGCACAGGAAAATGAGCTGTGGAATCTCTAACTTGCAGGTTGTTAATTAAATCCAATGCATGATGAGACTAATTTAAAGACACTTGAGTTGCCTTCTGAGAAGTGGCAGAGATCTGTGTTTACTTATAAGTAAACATGAGTTCTCTTCTATTCGTAATGAATATTCACCAGTGCTTCAGTAAACTCAGAGGAGTGTGAAGAAATGGAAAGAAAGCAATACCACAGTGGATCTTTTCAAGTCTGCCTTGAGATATTTGGGCAGGACAGTATGTACACTTCTGTAGTGCTGTTTTTAGGGACTCAAAGTCAGGGGCCCACTAGACTTTGGACCCAAAGACAGGGGCTTCACTAGAATGAAGCTCTCTTGGAAACTCCCAGGAATTGTAGTGGGAGCAGAATCATGGTTTTCTTCAAAGCCGTGTTTGTAGATTTGAAAGCCAAAAGAATTTGAACTGATAAAGTAAAAAATTATGATGCAATATGTATACATATATATGTGCGTATATGTATAAAATCAGTTACTGCAAAAGAGGCTTTTAATTTTAGCAGTACTGTCATCTTTTCTGCGTTGTTTGTAGCTAGAGCAAGTTGTTTGCTGTTCTTCTTCAATCAGGGATGTTTTAGTATTCTTTCTGTGTCAGATAAAAGAATCACTGTCAACATTAATTACTGAGGAATCTGAATCTGTTCTTGCTATCTATTTTTTGCTAATTATAGAAAACAAAAGTAATTATTATATTCTCAGCCAAGTCCAATTTGAAATATAACTTGGCAGCAGGGCTTTGGTTTGAGAGTTTTGTTTAGCATTGATGACAGATATAGAAACATGGATGAGACCTTCCTTGTTCCACTTGTTCTTACCCAAGGATATTGATCAGTTTGGATTTACTGTTTTTATGCAAGCCTGTAAAAAATTTCTTCTTGATGCTTTTTTCTTACTGTCTTTGACTTGGATGCTCGGGAAGGTTCAAAAGGGTAAAAATAAGTATTTTATGAGAAATGATTCCTGTAGCTCATATCATTTAGACTTGGAAAATATAGTTGTGCTGGCTATGAAAGTTTAGCCTGTGTATTGTGGTTTTGAGCGTGAGGAGCTGTGGCTGAATTTGTCCTCATTTATGCTGAAGTGGGGTGGTTAGCGACAGATACCTCGGTGGTGCCACCAAAGTCACCAGACACATTGGCACTTGTAGATTCAGCTTTTGTGAGTTTTGTGTTTGGAAGCTTAACGTGGTGTCAGGTTATAAATAGCAATTGAAAGGAAGATAAAATACTGAAGTTAGGGAAGGTCATCTCCCGTTCTGCTCTTGTTCAAGTCTTAAGATCCCTAAAGAGCCCATTTCTTTGGGCAAAGTTAGTCTCAAAGCCCTTTGGCTTTATAATGTTTCAAATCCAAGTGTTACAGTGAGCTGTCTAATAGCCAATCTTCCATCTTTCAGTTTTAAAGAATCTTTTTTTTTCTCTCTTTTAATCCATATTCAGGAAACACACATTCCTCTTATTTAAGGCTATTGTCTCTCATTTTTATTTTAAATGGTGTTGCTTAAGTAGGAGATGGAGAAGACTCTGTTACTGTAAGGACCAAATGAAAATCCTTTTCCAGTCCTGTAATTAGCCACTTGTGAAAAGTTTAATGAAACACTTTCTGTAACAGATTGGCTGTGATCGCAGCAAAAACCTTGTGGATATTTGTGGAAAAAAAGGATTCCAGGCTTTTGTCTGTGATGCCCTGGCAGTGCCGATCCGGAGCGGCTCCTGTGACGCCTGCATCTCTGTTGCAGTCATCCACCACTTCTCGACAGCAGTAAGTGCCCCCTCTCTGTGCACCTCTGTACCCTACATTGCTGTGCAGCACCATATTGCTGACAGGTACAAATAGGATATGTATCAAAAAAACCTGCTGGTTTGTTTGGAAGTAGGAGAGAAGAAAAAAAAAAAAAAACGAGAGGAAAGAGGAGTTTGCAGTTGGTGGAGCCAATAGGGCAGAGTTAAGCTGCTGTGCTGCTGGTTAGACATTCTCTTCACATTCCCCCTTTGCTTATAAGGTGCCCTTGCTCCTCCTGGCACTTCGTGATTCACTTTGTCCTGCTGGCAGCTAATGACACTGGAGAAGGGGGCCTGGCTTTGGGATTCAGGAGCTGTTACTTTCTGGCTCAGACAGGGAACGCATCATGATTTTTGGGGTCTCAATGCCTTCCTCCTTCATCTACAAAGAACAGCAGGGACACTGCCCATTTGCCTGCCCTGTCCCTAGGCTGTAGAAGCTTCTCCTCCCAGAAAATTGCAGTTGTAACAAGTGCTGCAACAGTGGAGCCACAGTCTGCAGGGCAGCCACATAATGTTTCCGTTACCTGAAATAACAGCAAATGTTCCACACACTGTATGCAAAAGTAGGAAGCAGTCTGTACGGGAGGAAGCTGCCGTGTCTTTGTTGAGGGTGGTCAGAGGGCCTCTATTTAAGCCATGCATTTGACTCCTCTGGCTGTGGACTTAGAGTATATTTGTATCATTGGGTGTTGCAGGTTTGATGAGATTGCAGATGTTGATCAGCTTTTTTGAAGACTGTGTGACATTCCCAACTGGGCTGGCATGTCTTGAAATTCTGATCAACACCATTTTTGATTGGATGGAGAACAGTGTCCAGGAAAATAGCTTGGCTCATGGGTTTAGAGATGGACTGCATTATAAATTATTTAATTATTTAATGGCCTCTTGTCCATTAACGGAACATGGCACTACATACTTATACAAGTCAGATAGAGAAGGGCACTCTCCAAAATGAATAATAGAAAAAATTCCTCTTATCCTTATTGCACATCGGGGGGATAGTAGGAAGGAATCACTGCTGTTTGCATTCATGTGTCTGTTTTTATACTAGCTTCACACTTTTGCTTTTCTTGTGTAGGAGAGGAGACTAGCTACTATCCGTGAATTAGCCCGTCTTCTGAGACCTGGTGGAACAGCACTCATATATGTCTGGGCAATGGAACAAGAATACAGAAAACAGAAGTCTAAATACCTTAAGGAAAAGAATGACAGTAAAGGCAAGGAGGAGGAGACTAATCCTGGCGCCATGCGGGGACTGCCAAGCGATCGTGTGCCTGGTGGCAGCAGCCAGGGCTCGGCGAGCTCCGACCGGCTCCCTCGTGACGCGAAGGCCGAGGGCTGCGATGCAAAACCCGTGGCTGCCTCCGCGCTGCCCGTTCACACCAACCGAACCTCCTTCCACTCGCAAGACTTGCTGGTTCCCTGGCACCTGAAAAGTGACCCTAAAAAGAAGAGGGGAGATGCTGCTAAACTATCGTCTCCAGCAGGCTCTGAGGAATCCCAAGAACTCGGCCCTGTGTTCCACCGTTATTATCACGTGTTCTGTGAAGGAGAGCTGGAAGCAGCTTGCAGAGCCTTGGATTGTGTGAGAGTTCAAAAAAGTTACTATGATCAGGGAAACTGGTGTGTGGTTCTGGAAAAGCTGTAGGCTTGTCCTTCCTCCATTGCCTGGTCTTTACAGGATGTAAAGGTATTCTTAATGCAGGCTGCAACTGCCACCTCTTTTATAATAGAGCAATAAACAGTGTTTATTGAATTTATTAACTGAGTTATTAGCAGTATCTGTCACTGTGTGTGTGTGCATGTGTGTGTGTGTGTTAATGAAAAAATGGCCAAAACCAGATAATAACTGAGGGTGTTTATTTTACTGCGGTGAGAAACAGGAAAAAGGAGTAAGTGTGTAAAAGGCTGGCCATGGAAATCAGCAAGATCAACAATCTGTCACTGGCCACCACTGAGAACAGTTTGGCCCCATAATTCTTTAGTTAATTCCTTTTAGCTAATTCTTGGTCACATTTCTCATCTATTCCCCCCTGTTCCCAGAGGAACAAGTGCTGCTCTTTTCTGGCCAGCCCAGTAGTGATGAGTCTCAGTTGCTCCCAATTCTGGAAGCTGATTGTGGCATGAAGAATGGCAGCTTATGTAGCACTGACTCGAGAGGTAAATGTACAGTCTTTAATTCATTATTAAAGCGTGTTTTCCCGATATTCCAAATGTTACCCTGTACAGAAGCAATCTGGTCTGTCAGCAAGACCCAGCCCCAGGAGCAGGTCCAGATCCGCAGAGACTTCAGAGCTGGGAAACTCTTGAGCACCTCCAAGGCTTGGAAATGTTATGAAATATTAATCTGATTAAAGTCAGAGAGTCTCCTTAGATGCTCAGAGTACATAAGCAGTGAAGGAGAAAATAAGGAAGGACAACAGGTGAATGTTAATGAAATGTATTGCAGAGGTTTACTTGAATCCATTGCACAACAGATTTATGTGCCGCAACAACAGCAAATGCCCTTTGTTTAATATGATAAAATAAAATCTTGGTAGTTATGCATGTCATTTCTTGATCAAAGTATCAAAACCTACTTGGGAACCTATTTTTGGTGAAGTTTCCAAATGATCATTCTAAGAGAATTTTTAGGTCTTTACTGAGCAATGGGAGCATCGTGTTGTTACTTTCAAAAGACATTTCAACATGTGTAAATTCTCAGTGCTTGAAGCAGGCTTTTTTTTTTTTCCTCTGAACTATTTCCATATTTTTACTAAATTTTGGCAAGATCTTTATTTTTCCATGTGAAAATATCCCAGCATGGATTTAAGTAAATCTGTGGTGAAAAATTTATGAATATGGTTAGTGAAAAGCTCAACTTGTGGGGGAAAAAATGCCATTTCTCCATACAGGAGATTCAATACAAAAATTGTACACTTTGATTTTAAATAATTTCCTGTTTTTATTAATGTATTTCTTATTAAAAGTAAGGAGTTGATAGAGTAAAATCCCAAGTACATTCTCCCATAGCAAGCCACACTTAGGTCATTGGAGTGGCTTCTTAGTCTGACTTTTCTTATTTGTTGTGGCCTGTATCAGAGTCTGGGAGGTATGTTAATGTTTAGCTTTAAATTTTCTTTTTTACTGGTATTTCTGAAAATGGGACTTAGTTTCCTTTTCTGCCTTTCCCTTTTCTTCTTTCAGTGTGGTTGATAATTATGTACTGTTTGTATTTCTGTCTTTAACAGCGATGCCTAGAAAATTCTGAACAGCGTCGATGGCTTTTCCCTCTCGCACAGCCTCGTCTGTGTCCGTATTTTCCTGGTCTCAGATGTGCTCTGGGGCCTGCGCTTTCTGCTTTGTGTTTGTGATCTGCAAGTGTAGCTGGCTCCTGGCTGCAGCTGAATTTTGGAGGGTTTGGTTCCACATACGGGGAACCTTCACCAGCCAGGGTAGATTGTGTCCTCTGTTTTACTATATATATCTCATCCCTCAGCTGTGCTGAAAACACTGAGGGCTGCACAGATTTGAATGTATAGAAGGAAAGAGACTTGAGGCAGCCCCGAGGGAGATGCCCCCAGCTCAGGGCTCTTCCGTGCGCTCCTGAGGGTCCAGGGGGCCAGTAACTCGTATCCTACCCTCTCCCAAGCTTGTCCTTTTTCTAAGGTCTTCTTATTTTTGCACAAGTATATTGACATGTTATAGTAAGTCTTTTGCAAAAATGACAGCTGAATTGCAAGCCAACATGGTGTGAAACTCAGCCATTGCTGTGTTAGGAAGCAACTTTCTGATTTATTTCCTCTGGAAAAGCTATTGCATGATAGGAAATGATGAAATGCTGGGAGGATTTAGGAAGATGTGCAGATCAGAAGAATCTGTCAAGTATTTTGCCCTCTAATCCTGTAGACCATTAGTCAGCTCTTTGCAGGCCAATCAATTAATTTGTACAAGAGATAGAGATTTTTATGTCAAGACCTTTTCTCCCAATTAATGTACTCAGAGTGGTTCAAGAAGCACAGGAACAAAACATTGTCTGGAACAGAGGATAATTCATATACTCAGACACATTAAAGACTTGTCCAGGTGAGCAATATTTTAGTTAGGGTCGATCAAACATCTGATGCAGAGAGGAAGCCAGTCGCAGTTTATGTTGAAAATAAGGATCTCTTGACCAAAATGGCACTCTTTGTGTTGCCCATGCATGATGGACCCAAAGCAAGTCCTGGTTTTGCTGATGTGGGATGCTTTTCTGTAGCAGGACCAAGTCTCACATCTCTTTATGCCCTGATTATGCACTGACTTGACTGAGAATGCCTTGTGGCATCTAGGAGCTACAAGGAGGTTGGGGACACTTCTTTTGGTGTCTGGTTATTTATTATTTTTCAAATCCTCTTAAAACACTTATGAGCTTAACTTGTAGGTAACTGAGCCCCGGAGTTGACTCCATGATTGTGAATAATACCCTGTTCCCTATGACCCAGGGGTGTGGTTTCAATGTAATTTCAATGAATGGGGCAATAAATTCCTACCCAGCCTTACTCATGATTCTGTAGCTAGAGTGTCCTGGAGGGAGAGTTGGAGATGAAGAGCAGGGAGCTTGGTCTCCTGTCTTGTGGCATGTACTTAGAAACAAAATGGACCAGACTTCATTAGAGGGACTTAGTGCTGTGGAGCTATGGTAAGGATGCCCTCTGAAAGGGCCACCTGAGGTGGCACTGCTTTGCTTGCTTGCAGCTGAAATACAGATATGAGGTAGGCAATGAGCTGCTTACTTATGCACAAGGCAGAGTTTCAAGTACCTAGTGTGACCTTCCTTTCACTAGGGAAATGTCGTGGTGGACAACAAATTGCCCATGAGGCAGCAGTGTGCCCTCGTGGCCAAGAAGGCCAATGGGATCCTGGGGTGCATTAAGAAGAGCATCTCCAGCAGGTCGAGGGAGGTGATCCTGCCCCTCTACTCAGCCCTGATGAGGCCACATCTGGAGTACTGTGTCCAGTTCTGGGCTCCACAGTACAAGAGGGATGTGGAGCTACTGGAGAGAGTCCAGCGCAGGGCTACAAGGATGATCAGGGGCCTGGAACATCTGCCCTATGAGGAGAGGCTGAGGGAGCTGGGCCTGTTCAGCCTGGAGAAGAGAAGGCTGAGAGGGGACCTGATCAGTGTCTATAAGTACCTCAAGGGAGGCAGTGAGGAGGATGGTGCTGGCCACCGAGAGGACTAGAGGAAATGGCCAGAAACTGAAGCATCAGAAGTGCCAAAGGAACTTAGGGAAAAATTTCTTTCCTGCGAGGGTGACAGAGCCCTGGAACAGGCTGCCCAGAGAGGTTGTGGAGTCTCCTTCTCTGGAGATCTTCAAAACCCCTTGGACGCAGTCCTGTGCCACGTGCTCTAGGTGACCCTGCGTGTGCAGGGGGTTGGACTAGATGACCTCTAGAGGTCCCTTCCAACCTTAAGCATTCTGTGATTCTATGAAATAGGCTAACTAGGGGAAGGAAAGTAGAAAAGGCAGGAGTGAACATGAACATGAAGCACGTTATAGAAAGGGACTGAGAGCCATGAGAGACGGGCTGTGAAACAGAAGGACTTCTCTGCAGGACTGCGTCTTTGTCTTTCCTGTGTAACTTAGACCTTATGTCTTCAGCTCTCAGTCTAGGTGAGGTGGTCAGGAAGCTGGTGTGATGCCATCATTGGGAAACCCTTCTATATTTTGGGAAGGGAGAGGACTTCATTGGGGAGGGAGGGGGAGAAATTGCTATTAATAGGACAGGGGAATTTGGAAGCCACTCTTCGTTCCTGCTAAGAAGCCTGGCCTTGGCGTATGAGGTGCTCCTTTTCCTCGTGCTAGGGGATCACGGGTAGATGACTCCGACAGGAACTCGTCAAGTTTAGCAGACAAATGCGGGTACTATCCTGGGCTAAATCCTTGTGCTAGGTCAGGCAGGCAGGTTTGACTGAGAAGAGTTTCCAATCATCTTCTGCCAAAACTGGCAGCAGCAGTGGCTGCGACATAACTTCTGTTACAGGGGCTTGATTTAGTACCAGGAAGGGGGAAATAGCAGATAATTCCACAGAGAGAGAAATATCTTGTAGGTGTTAAGTTGGATGGCCGTGTGTCTCTGGAAAGCAGGGTCAAGACACCCCCTGAGCTTAGGCTGCTGGTGTCTCTGGAGGAAGTGTGAGCCACTTCTCTGGGGACTTCCCTAGAGCTTCAGCTATGTGGGGACCTGGTGTTTCCAGTTCATCTTTCTTCAAGGTCATGTGATAGTTGAGATAGCAGAGCTACAGACTTTGCAAGTTTCTGACCCCCATGTTGTATAAAAATAGATGGAAAAATACAATCCTTGTACTTTTTTTTTTCTCAGCTACAGATTCTTTCACCACTAACAGTGCATTTTTGGAGTGTAAGGCAGAGTCTTCTGAAATGTCAAGATTCTGCTCCTGTAGGAAAAATAAGAGAGTTTTTCTGCTCTATAAAAACAACTTACTGTGAGGTCCCAAGCAGTCTGCTGTACTAAATACATTTATTTTTTTCCTCACTCCTGTTCTGAGACTGATTTGTCCTTATTCCCACATTGAGACCTGATTCATTGTTTTACTGCTGAGGACCATCAGAAAACGCCTCAGTTTCCTCCTGTTTGTTTGGATCTGGTCTGTGTGCCTGCTGAGCCATCGCTGGCTGCCTCCTTCCAAGA